GAGCAGGGAGCCCGATGCGGGACTCGATCCCAGGACTCCAGGATCATGACCTGAGCCGAAGGCAGTTGCTTAACCAACTGAGCCACTCAGGCGCCCCCTGTATTTTTTTTTAAAACAGCCTTATTGAAATATACTTGATGTAATTATATATATAAATGGTACACTTTGATAAGTTTTGACATAGGTGTACCTCCATTAAAGCATCAGGATAGTGAACATGTCCATCACTTTCAAAAGTTTTCTCTTGCCCCTTTGTTACCTCCCTCCTTCCCAAGCCTCCATGACTCACTCTTTCCAAACAACCACTGATTTGCTTGTAGATTAGTTTGCATTTTTTTTAGAGTTTATTTACATGGAATTGTAGTTTGTACACTTATTTGTCTAGCTTCTTTCACTTAACATAATTCTTTTGTTGTGTTTGTTGTGAAACATAATTCTTCTGAAATTTATCCATGTTGTTGCATGTATCGACAGTTTGCAGTTTGTTAATTTTTATTGTTGAGTAATATTCTATCGTATGGGTATACTACAAATTGTTTATCCAGTCACCTACTGATGTATATTTGAATTGTTTCTAGTTTCAAGCTATTACATATAAAGCTACTGTGAATATCTCTGTATAAGTCTTTGTGATGGACATGTGCTTTCATTTTTTTAGAGTAAATACTAGAAATAACTGGATCACTTATGTTTAACTTTGTAAGAAACTTCCAAACTGTTTCCCAAAGTGGTTTTACCATTTTACATTCCCACCAACAGTGGTTGGGAGTTCCCATTTCTTTACATCCTTGTCAATGCTTTGTGTGATCAGTCTTTTTTACCATTCTGCTAGGTATGTAGTGGTATCTCATTGTGGTTTTAATATGCATTTCCCTAGTCACTTATGACAGTTGAGCATCTTTTCATGTGCTTATTAGCCATCTGTATCTTTGATGAAATGTCTGTTCAAATCTTCTGCTTGTTTTTTGTTTTTTTCTTATTAAGTTTTGAGAGTTCTTTATATATTTTGAGTACAAATTTTTTTATCAAATATGATTTTAGCTTTTACTTTTAGCTTGAGATCTATTTCTAGTTAATTTTGTAGATCGTGTGAGGTATAGATCCAAGTTCATTTGTTTTGCATATGGATATTTAATTGTTTGGCACCATTTATTGAAAAAGCTATTTTATCCACTGCTTTGCCTTTGTGCCTTTGTAAAAAATCAGTTGTCAATATATATGCAACCTGCATTTTAATGTGACTGTGAGTTAAAGTTGTTTAGAACAGTCTCTTGAAGAATCAGATGGAATCAGGGTTATATTTTGGTACTCTGTATTTTTAAGTAAGTTCTTTAATACGATATAACCTAATCACAGAAAAGTTCAGGGATTGTAAGTGTATAAGCTTGATGAATTTTCACAAAGTAAACAGTCATGTAACTACCACCTAGATAAAAAACATGGGACATAGCCTCTACCGTAGAGGCCCACCCTAATTGCTATCCTCCCTTCTGTCACCATTGATGATTTTTACCTCCAAAGAAATGGAATTACATGTGTACTCTTGCACATTGTGTTGCCTGTCTGCTTTTGCTTAACATTGTATTTTTGAGATTCATTGGTGGTGTTGCATATAGTACTAGGTTTTGTATATTATTTCTACCATTTATTAA